GCTGCAGCACGACAGGAACAAGGGCACCAAGAACAGACCCACTGCCCACGAAGTTGGCCGCTCTTCGAGCTCCTCTGCTGCAGCTCCGCGCGGGGGGGGCCCCCCGGGGGCCTCCGCAGCAGGGGGCCCCGAGGGGGGCTCCGGGGGGGCCCCCGAGGCCGCCTCCGGGGGGGCCTCCGGGGAGGGGGGCCCCTCGGGGGCCCCCCCCACCAGCGGGCAAGAAGAACCCTTTTTAAGGTCCCCAACACTCGACAAGGAGGCCTGGAAAGAAGTGACGCACTGGCGCAGCACGAGGGAGCAGCAAAGGGCCCAGAGAAGGGGCCAAATGCTGAGGCCGCAGCAGCAGGAGGAGAGGCCCAGAAGTGCTGCAGCAAACGGCAGCAGCACCAACACCCCGTCGAAGCCACAGAGGCCCCAAAGGCTAAAAGTGGTTATGTCCTTCATGGGGGGCAGCGAGGGCTCGTCGGAGCCCTCCATGTTGCAGCATTCCCAGGCGTGCGGGAGGGCCGACGCAGCAGCAGCAGCAGCAGCAGCGGCGGCGGCAGCCCGCTGCTGCTGGCGCAGGCGGCTCCGCGACATTTTGCAGCAAAGAAACTTTAAATTAAAGAAAAGATAAATCCAAGAAGGCTCCAGAGCCGCAGATCTGCGGGAGAGGCGCCGTGGTGAGGCTCGAGAGCTAGCCACAGACAACGCAGGCTCGCCAGCGCCACGCAGGCACCAAAGGCATCCCCAAATTCCAAATCCAATCAATTAATTGGATCTTCAAAACAAACTAAACAAGAAAACTTTGTGCACACTGAAAGCCAGCTGGAAGTGCGGGCCTCAGCTGGCCCCCAGGCCTCGTGGCGAGTCGGCCGCAGCCCCGGCGAGCGGTCAGCAGCAGCAGCAGCAGCAGCAGCAGCACAGCCCTGTCTGCCAGCCAGCAGGCCCCTCTCCAGTACACCGGGCTTTTTTACAGCCTTTTAGAGATTGAAAGTCAAATTTAATTTTATTTTTCGTTTTCTGGCTTTTATTTCTCATTAACTCCCGACCAATCCGCTGCAGCACCCAGAAGCCCTGGCTGCCGCCCCCCTGCACTCCGTAAACCCACCCAGCGTTTGTCTCTGCCTCTTGGACTTTCTCTTTAACTTATTTGTCACATTTCTCGCATTATATTTTTATTTTCCTCCGCAGTTCCCCCCCCAAATGCTGCAGGGGCCCCCAACACCTCTGGCTTTTCTGCCAAGTTGCGCTGCAGCAGCTCGCCCGGCCGCAACAGCAGCAGCAGCAGCAGCAGCTGAAACGGGCCAGAGCTGGCTCCCCAATGGGCCCTGAGGGGCCCCCCTCTCTGGGGGAGGCCTGGGGGCCCCCGGGCGTACCCTGGGGGCCCCCTGACGAGCCCTCGAAGCTGCTTGAGCAGTTTCTTGACCTCTGCGAGGCCCTGCCCTCCGCCCTAGAAGCAGCAGCAGACGCAGCTGTGTCCGCAGCAGCAGCAGCCCCAGAAGCAGCACCAGCAGCAGCAGCAGCAGCTCCAGCAACAGCAGCAGCAGCAGCAGGCGGCGGAGCTCTCGGACTGGAGCTGCACCTGCCGCCAAACCTGCGCAGCTGGCTGCGGGCAGCACTGGGGGCCCTTTGGCCGCTGCTGGGGGCCCCCCAGCTGCATGCAGTGGCGCTGCAGCACTTTGCTGCTGCGCTGCAGCAGCACGCAGTTGAGCGGCTCTCCCGGGACTTCTGGGACTTCTGCTGCCCCCGCCCCCGTTCGGCAGCAGCAGCAGCAGAAAACAGCAGCAGCAGCAACAGC